AGCGGATTGCCTCCTAAACGTTTAATCTCAGCTCTCGCTTTCACGTCCAAGTCTTCAAGTACATTTTTCGTGTATTCGAAAGAGCCAAATTTCTCTAACAATTTAACGCAATGATGTTTCAATTCGATTTCTTTGGTTAGTTGTTTCAGAATATCTGTGTCAGGCATTATTAAGGAAATCTATATATAATAAAGTTCATAAATTATAAAGTTTCTGAAAATGTCTTTTGTATGTGTATGATGTGTGAGGCCGTTTACATTTCTTTAGTAAATAAAGTGTATTAATTAACAAAAATATTTTTGTTGTAAATGAAAAAAAAAGTATTATATAAAAGTATTTTATAAAAGATACATATTATTTGCTTATCATCAGGATTCATTGTAAGCGCATGAACAATGGGAAAGCTGAACTTTCCTTCACTCAAATCATCGCAATAACCCTTATTTTCGGTATACTATAACAAAAAATTACTTTAATTCTTTTCAGTTTATTTATGTATTATAAAATGTCGCACATATATTATTACTCACCTTATCGCTATTCAAAATGCCATAATCATCGCGTATTTGGAAGTGCAAACCCAAAATAATACTTAGCGATGATAAGTCTTCTTTGTATGTTGAGAATAATTTCATTAATGTTACCATTAAATTAAAGAAACCACCAGCCTCTGCGAAATTAGTTGATATTTTAATTTTTTTCATATGTAATTTTTTTAATTTCACAAAGAAATATATATGTAAGTATTAATATTGACTTTTCATTGCCATAGTCTTATAGTCCGCCTCACTTGGACAAATGAGATTATCCCGCCAAAAAATTTCTATTCCTTGACCTCTAAAAACTTCTAACATCTGTTCCATATACACTTTTGTCGCCTGAAAAAAACGCGGTTAGTGCAATAATACAGCATACGTTATATTTTATCTAACAAGCAAATATGAAGCTAATCTTTTACAATTTTAATGAGTTTTAATGAGCTTTATGTTGTATATATGTATATATTAAAAGATCATAAAACATGTATTTTTAAAGATACATAAAAGATATATTTTTAAGGACATATAAAACATGTATTTTTTTAAATATTTTTTTCTTCAGTCAAGTTTTAGCAGTAACTTTTACTTTTCCTATACTATAACAAAAAATTAACTAAATTCTGCTCAGTTTATTTAAGTATGTATGATATCATGGACATAATTGAAGGAGTGCATTTAAATTTTGTATCTTTTAAAAATGTTATTTGAGCACTTAGAAAAGAAAATAAGAGATCTCTTATTTTCAACTTTTTTTGTGACTAAAATAATGCATAATGTGACTAAAGTATATTGCTTACTTACTTTTTCTTTTATAAGTATAATGTGATTACTTACTGCAGGATGCAAATTAACAATTCTTTCCAATGCGATTAATACTAAATAGGTTGCAGCATTTAGTGAGCTAGCAATTGCATAAACAGAATGAGCGACAGGACTACCTCTTCGCAAAATGGAATTATCTTGGATATCATCAATTCTGTAAAAAAAAAAAAATAAATTATGATCTTATAAAAATATATATACACAATTGCTTTTTTTATATAAATTTAATTTTATACATCTAATATAAAAATAATAACATGGAAATAAATTAAATGTGAAAAGATAAGGATTACATACTGAAATAGAACATTAGTTATGACACATTAATGTTTTGTTTCAATTTTGATAATAACAGCAATAGGCTCAGAGTGAGAACAATTAAGTGGAAAAACTAACAGATAAAAGCCAAGACGCAGGTATCGAACTTTTACTTTTTTTATAAATATAATGTGATTACTTACTGCAGGATGCAAATTAACAATTCTTTCCAATGCGATAAATAATAAATAATTTGCAGCGTTTAGTGAGCTAGCAATTCCATAAACAGAATGAGCGACAGGACTACCTCTTCGCAAAATGGAATTATCTTGGATATCATCAATTCTGTAAAAAAAAAAAAATAAATTATGATCTTATAAAAATATATATACACAATTGCTTTTTTTATATAAATTTAATTTTATACATCTAATATAAAAATAATAACATGAAAATAAATGTAATGTGAAAACATAAGGATTACATACTGAAATAGAACGTTAGTTATGACACATTAAAGTTTTGCTTCAATTTTGATAATAACAGCAATAGGCTCAGAGTGAGAACAATTAAGTGGAAAAACTAACAGATAAAAGCCAAGCCGCAGGTATCGAACTTATTATTATTAAATTTTATTAAATAATGTGCATTAAAAATGTACGTTTTGGACCGTCTTTTGGTCCATCTTTGGTATGGATATAAATATATAAAAAATAAATTAGAATTTAAAAACTTGACATACACAACATTTACAGTTGCAGTCAAATTTCAAATTGCTCTTATTTTCCAGTTTTCTTATTTAAATGTTATTTTAGCTTAATGAAAGACTTAAAACTTTTTAACTTTTGGCAATAATCAATGTTATTTGGCTTTCGGCTTTAGGCTATAAATTAATCAAATTATTAGGTGTACAAATAAATAATCCAAATTTCTTTAAGCAGTTAAAAAATTAATTTTAAAATTTATTGATTTTCCCGCATTTATGTAATATTAACATATAGCTATTAAAAATAACATTTAGTTTGGCGAAAGTACCAACATAACTTTAAAAAATATTCAGTTTATTCAGTAGAATCAAAAATGGCAACAGATAAAGTACATGTCCGACACTGTACTCTTTACAAACTCCAACAAGAAAAAAATGCTGCAAAAGCATGCAAACCGATTTGTTCCTTTCTCGGAAAAGGTGTTATATCGTACGATACGCATTTTGGTTTAGACGGTTTGAAAGCGGCGATTTTAGTCTGATCGATAAACAATGCCCAATCAGTAGATGAGATACAAAAATGACTTGACAATTTTATTATGTCCAAAGACACAGCATTTTTCCGAGATGGAATTTATCAGCTGCCTAAAAGATGGCTTAAAGTTATAAAAAGCAACGGCGAATACTCTTTGATATAAAAATTTGATTTGCTTTCTTTTAAAATAAACCTTGAATTTCGTTGAAAAATTTGGATTATTCATTTGTACACCTAATAAATTATAATCTAAACTCTAAAGCCACAATATTGAAAACCAACAACTTATATTTGAAAAACAACAACTTATATGTATATATATATATTGTTACGTCCGGCGGACTCCACGATTCTTTTCTTTCATCGTAAATAGAGATTAGCGGTATCTTAAGAGCGCATTACGCCTTGAAATAAACAAATGGAAACTGAAAGGCGAGACAAACTTTTCGGAAACAAAAATTGAGAGGATATATGATACAAACAGGAAACTA